AGATCGTTATCAAGGAGGTGTATCGTCACCACCAGCGTCGGTGCAAGGAGGAAGAGATCTTGGCCCACGTTCACGGCGACGGCGACGTGCTGGGAGTCGTGCGTCTGAAGGGTGCGGAACACGTCACGACCAACAACGAGACGATCAAGTGCGCTGCGCGAGGTGAAGAGACGGTGCGAACGAAAGAGCGGTTCGCATTGTTCGATTCCGGCTCTTGTCTTCTGGATGCGAAGACAGTGAATGATCTATTGGAGGCGGTATACGATGCGTTAGAAGGTACGGGCATCTCTTGATGAAGTGTAGTCGCGACGCTCATCTGGATGCGGCAGTTCACCGCACGGTGCTGCTGGAGCGCAAAGTACTGCACCGGGACATGAGCCTATATAATTTCCTGATGTACCCAAAGTGGGGCGGAGTGAGTGGGAGACCTGTCTCTGAGAAGACGCCTGTGTCGATCCGGGATGTGCTCCTTGGAAGCAAGAGGTGAGCTGGTTTCACAGTAAGGAGCCGAACACATTGATAAGAATTGTGTAGGCCGGCCGAAGAACGGTTTCCTGCTTGCCTATTAATCGACTTCGACAATGCTGCACGAGTGCAGGTCACGGGTGGCGAACTGAAGGAACGCACGGTATGTCTCGACGGTCTGTTTCTTGTCTACTCGGTCTGACGCGATATACTCTTAGGGGACACCTATATTCATTGCACGAAGCGTCAATCTTGGAATGGTCCTGCTCGACTTTGAATCACTTTTCGGAACGTCCATGCCCAGGCTCACTGGCGACGCCCTGCAATTATACACCACCGCCTATGGGCAGGAGCGCTACGATCGGTATAACGACGACCCTGTTACTCGCACATGCCATGGCGGATACCCCCCGACGCAGAACTCCCACCCCCGCGCAGTCAGGGAAGCAAAGTCACCCGCCTTCGTTCACAGACCGGAGCATGACGTAGAGTCGGTGTACTGGACCCTAGTATACGCTCTTCTCCGCGTTCAGCCAGACGCTGCTCCAAGAGAACTCGATCCGTCCGCCGCGTCTGCTTCCGTATGGAATACTCTCCTCTCGCATTATATTCCGGGCGAGGAATATGATCGATCAGATGAAAAACGTCATGAGGTCATGAACAGGACAAAGCAGGAATGGCTCGATCTCTTTCATGCAACCATGGAGGACGTTGCACTGCTCTTGTGGCAAATTACGCTACATGTCTGTTCGGAATACGCCCTGTGGAAATGGGAAGGCAACTTCCATCCTGACCACCTCCACGAAGCTGTGCAGCGCCTCATCCTGCAATATCTGGTCGATCATCGCGACAATCCCATTGAACTAGATCCGGATCATCTGCGCCCTACCGACCCTCGTTTCACCCACCAGGGGGATACTCTGACCCCAACTCAGCTTTCGCGGACGCAAGCTAACAGTGTGTCAGGACACACTGCAGGTCTGGGAGGATCAGGACGGGGTTCAACCGCTTCCCGCAAGCGGGGGCGTGGTAAGGATTCAAGGCATACCGCCAATCGCAATGGCAGTGCGCAGAATACTACTGCTGTTGGCGGAACGTCACAACAAACCGTAGAATCTCGTGAGCAAGCGACGGTGAACCAGCCGGCACCTATAGCTGGGAACCTGAAGCGCAAGCTGAGCGACACCAAGCCCTCTCGCAGCAGCAAGCGTCTGAAGACACTGTCTGGTGCTCCGGTACCACCCGCGGGGCAAGGCGGCGACCACGACGATCTGTGAGTTGCTGGCAGGCGTGCAATGGGTTGCGCTTGTCGCGCGTTCGTCTCATTCCAGACACCCTTCGCGCTTCGGCCACAAGATGGGCGAAGCTGCTAGCATCATTACAGGGATTTCTGTCTCACATCAAGTACTGTCTCTGTCCTTCTGGCATTCGCCGTCTCTTTTTCACGCTGATATTCTCCATGCTCATTTCCATCTCGTTGTCATGCTGTCCACACCTTGTTTTCCCGTTGTGCTTGCATCGTCCGGTCGCCGTGTTGTTTGCTACTGCTGTCATCTGGTCGACATCTTATTGTACAACAACGCATGTATTATCACGGGTCTGTCTGCTTGGAGTGAAGGCGAGTCGTTGTCATGCAGTCCAGCATCATCGATGTCGATGACGACTGGCTCCAGCCATGAGGTCGTCCGTGTTGCAGTTTATACCAGTTATATAATGTCCACATTGACATTGTCGTGAGACATATCCTCTGTCTACGCAATGTCCAACCTCATAGCCTGGCTAAACGGAAATAGACTCGTCCGGACGCTCGCTGCGGTCCACGTCGAACCTGAAGGTGCCCACGGCCGTGATGGGCGTCGCAAGTGCCTGAGTACGAGGGTGACCCCGACCGCGCCTCCTGTGACAACAACACCTACTTGGAGGGATTATAGATCGCTTTTGGTAAATGAACGGGGTCGAGAAAAGATATCAAATCGTATCAGGATCGTAGCGACGACATCGAGAGGTTTGAATTTGCGGCCGTCTTAGGGGTTGCGGCTTCCGCAGTTCTGGGAGATGCATATTCAATCTTGAGTATCCCGTAGATGTTGGCGTACCCTGGACATATATACAGTCGACACCCTCCTAGCCCATACCCCTGGTAACCCATAAACTCCCGAAACCCATAGGATTTTGGCTTTCCCAAGTCGGGATAGGGGGGATTCGACCCCATAACCCATAGGCCCCTGGTACCCAATAACCCATAGCTTTCTAGGGCCCAAAACCCATACGGTAATAGGGCTCACATTGAGATTACGCTCATCAATAACCTTTTTAATACTCGATGCATGCTTCCCAGAGTCCTCTCAGTGTCCATCCATGCTCGGACCACGTTGTGGGTAGGTGAGTCTGTTCGAAATCCCATAGCGCTCCCTCAAAGGGTCAGTAGACGCCTTTCCAGCGCTTGCTGACTGGGACTAATCAGGGGCGCTTATAAGGCGCTTTAGTTCTCGTAGCCCATAACCCCTCAAAACCCATATATTCGGGCCTGTCCCGAGGGCTATGGGTTAAGAGGGTGTCGACTGTATAGAGTCGGTGATGATTTCGCATAACTCGTGAATACCAGGTTACTGTAAGCTTATCTGCCAGACATGGCCTACTTAGTACCTGGATTGTCGGCGTCTGATGGTTGAGCGCTTGATTATGAAGTTCCGTAATGACACTCGAGTTAAAGTTTAGGCGGAGTTTCAACATCAGGCTGGAGCTGTACAGGACCACCAATCGCCAGAGTCAACGACAGCGTCCACCATCACATCCACAGCAAGAAAACATGGGAAAAGGTTGCTAGCTTTTGCACTCGCTCGCTTCTGTCTGTCTTGCTCACGAATGCTTTCATTTGGCGTTGGTGCGTCTGGTTGCGACGACGTTATATAGTTCACGGCTCTCTCGCTCGTGCCGGCAAGGTCAAGTCTCAGACCCCCAAGGTCGAAAAGCAGGAGAAGAAGAAGGTGCCCAAGGGCCGTGCTAAGAAGCGGATGCTCTACAACCGCCGGTGCGTGCTTTGAGTGTGAAGCTTCAGAGCGGGGGATTGACCCTTCGTGCAGCTTTGTTAACGTTACTACCCTCCCTGGCGGCAAGCGGAGAATGTGAGTCTTTCGTCCATTTTTCGTCCGTCAGGCTCTGCCGTTGTTTTGTGTGTATGTGCGCAAAGCATGGGCTCTGTTACTGCCGATCTTCAAGATGATACTCGAATATTCTAGCATAGTTCACACTGAACCGCGCATGTAGAAAAACATTCATCTGTCTTTCGCTCCTATCTGATCTATCTTCCGTCCGCTTCCCTTGTGTCTCTCTGGTATCCTTATGCTCACCTCACGCCCTCCCCCTTCCTAGGAACGCCAACCCCGAGAAGTAAAAGTCATGGCTGGGCAACACTAAACGCACTAGGCGTTCATCACGCGCGGGCCTACTCGAGCCTAGCACTCGAGCACCCGCACAGCACCCCACGACGGCCGCGGAGTGTTGGTTGGTTTGGAGCTGCATCATCTGTATCACCCGCATCTCGCCCTCATGTTACTCTATCCCGCACGCATATGCCCCCTCCATATACGATTATGATTTAGGGCATTGTCTTCCCCGTGTACCTGCAGCCTTGTGCATACTCCGTGGGTATTCCGTCAGGAGTCCGACATTGGAACCTCTGCAGCATCGCAGGGTGTGTATGGGAGTATTTCTATATGTTCTTGTCCTGTGGCAGTGGGCATCCCGCAACAGTAAGGATACACTCGTTTCGTAGGAATGTCTAGGAGGCAATTTATGAGAGCCACCGACAACGAGAGCTAACGTCCGTCGGGACCTTATAGTGGTATGGCAAATGTTTGCGCCGCAACCAGCTCTCGCTTATCACTGATTGCACACAACGCGCTCCGGGGTATACATCTATTATCGGGCACGAAAGCACGGCACTACTGAACGAGAGTGGCTACTGCCGCGATGAAATCAGTCTCGCTGGTTGGTGGAGATTCGTTCCTGACGTTCAGGTAGGCCGTCCGCAGGCGCTCCGTAGACAAGTCGTCCAGGAGAGAGAGATTGGACGTGTTGGGTGGGGCTGTCTTTGAGGCAGAGTTTGAGGCAGAGCGAGGTTCCGTGATGAGTTTGCGGGTACACTGCACGCGCATGGAGGTGAGCCTGACAAACCGGCGCACGGGTAAGCGACAGAACACACCAGCTTCACGCCAAACCACGCTCTGAGCGTGATCCCGGTCGGTATCGAGTCGCTCGGGGCAAGATCCCCGTCGTCGTCATCGGTCATGTCCACGACGTGCAGGAAGGTCTTGAGCGCGAGGGGCACGTCCTCGGCGAGGTACGCCGTCTCGGCGTACTGGAGGAAGTAGGACGGGTTTTGGGGCGAGAGGAGGAGCGCGTGCGAGAGCGACTGGAGCGCGTACGTGTATTGCTGGCAGGAGGCGTAGATGTCGGCGAGCTCGAGCCAGCCGTCGGGCTCGGTGTAGAAGGTGTCGAGCATGGCGGAGAGCTCTTCGACCGCGCGCTCGACTTTGCCCGCCCGGCGGAGGACTGAGGCTTTGCGCCGCCAGATCGCCTGGGGCGAGGCAGAGGCAGAGGGATGCGCGTAAGAGAGAGGGGAGGAGGAGGAGGGGCTAAGGGGGAAACGGAGGGACGTACGGGGTTGGAGGAGTCGGCTTCGAGTAGCTGGTCGTAGTACTCGATGACGAGCTCTGGGGACTCGGTGGCTTCCATGCGGATGCCCTCCAGGACGTCCACCCGCGAGGAGCCGGGAAACTTGTCGAGGAGAAGCTTGAGACACCTCTAACGAAACGCACAACGCGGACGTGAGGATATCGACTGGAGTGGTTGCGAGAGCACACGAACATCAGCGACCTGGATGTTTTCCTGGTCGATGGCAGCCAACGCGAGCTTCTCTATCGCGTCCCAGCCTTATAGTGTAATTTTCGTGTTCAGAACAGAGTAGGCCGCATGGGAGAGTAGTGCGCACCTTCCTCACCCTTGCCCGCGAATCCGCCGCGCTCGAGGAGAGCCAAGCCGGTATCGAATGTCTCTTTGGACTTCTTGGACTTGCGTGGCTGATATGCAGCCAGCTTTTGCAGGGAGTAGGTGTATTCCATCGTCGACAAGACACGAGAAACAGAAGGGGTCTAGACGGTGATCACTGGCAGAGACGGTCACGAATGCCTGGTTCAGAATGGACGGAGCAAGCGCTGGTTACGACAGTTCCCGACAATTGCCTTGTATGGCATGCGAGTCGATGGAAGAGAGACGGAAGGAGGTTTTCGCCTGAGTCGCCTCTTGCTCCTTGCAATTGTCTTGCTCCTACCACGATGGGGTACGTCTGCGCCCTCGCTGTCTCACTTGGAGCCGCTCACACCGCGAACGCAGCCCAGGCGGCGGACCGTCAGACTACGTACGCGTGAACGACCTCGCCCTCACCGTCTCCTTCTCCGACGGCTCGCGATGGCCGTCCGCGACGCCCCATCGGCAGCCCGTACTCGTTAGCTTCAGCTTTGCGCACGATGTCCGCAACGCGGCTGCGACGGACGACCTCGCGCACTCGGTCAACTATTCTACGCTCGCGATGGGCATGAAGGCGATCGTCGAATCCGAGGTCTTCCCGTCCCTCGAGGCGTTCGTCGATCGCGTGTGCTTCGTATACGCGCTGCAGTACTCGCAGGTTCCCAGCTTCACTGTGCGGATCGCGAGGACGAAGGCGCTTCTGTACGGCTCGGCGTTTGGAGTCGAAGTCACGAAGGTGGGCAGCCGGGCGGACCTCGCAAAAGAGACGTTCTTCTTTCAGGACATACTCGCGTACGCGTTGATTGGCATCCACCCGCACGAACGACAGCGCAAGCAACGCGTGCGTGTCAACGCCATGGTGACGAGAAGGATGACGCGACAGCAGCCGTTGGACTTCCGCGTCCTAGAGCAGCGCATATTCGATGTAGGTATGGCTAAAGGGATACGCATTCATCTACTAACATCGTTTGCCGTAAAGTTTGTAGAGGACTCCAAGTGTCTCACTGTCGAAGCGCTCGCATCAGAGGTCGCAAGCGTCGTCCTCTCCTTCCTCGACGACAAGAATGCAGCCGTCACTGTGCGCATCTCAAAGCCGAGCGCAATCCTCGATGCCGACTCGGCGGAAGTCGAGGTTACGCGCACACTCCATGACTTTCGCTCGAAGCCCTCAGCGTCTGTGGCTTTGACTGCCGCGAGCAAGGTCTCCAAGGCAGTCCAGAGCGACATCGTGGACGGGCCATCGTACTCGCACCTGGCGCCAGGGTCGTCTCCCCTGCAACATGCGCTGCCCCATCGCGCCGCTATTGCCATCGGAGCTAACATTGGCGATAGGTTCGCAAACATCGAATGCGCTCTTCGATTGCTTGAATCGTCCGCTCTCGACACGCAGAGTTGGACAGGGGTGCAGAGAATCGTCGTGGTAGACACGAGCTTCATGTACGAGACCGCGCCGATGTATGTCAAAGACCAACCCAAGTTTATCAACTGTGCGTGCATGGTAAGTTCCTACCCGAGAATTCCCGGCTCAATGCTGACGGCCCTCCGTTGTAGATCGAAACCGACTTAAAGCCCCGCGAGCTATTGTCGTACCTGAAACAGATCGAGGAAGCCGTTGGCCGCACCGCGACCTTCCGGAACGGGCCTCGCGCCATCGACCTCGACATTGTGACATACGATGATATTGTCTTGGACACCAGACCTGAATGGAGTCGAACGAACTTAGATAACCTCCAAGGCGAGCTTGTCATTCCGCATCCGCGCGTGGTGGAGCGCGAATTCGTCCTGCGGCCATTAGCGGAGTAGGTCTTCCTTAGCTCGCATTTTCCTCTGTTTTTCTCTGACATAGTGCTTTCCAGTATGATACCAAATTATGTGATTCCTGGTACCGAGAAGACCGTCGGAACGTTGTTGTCGGAGGTCGTCATTCAACCCACACCGAGTGACGCGATGCACAAAGTCGTCCCCTTCCCGCATTACCCCCTCCCCCACGTCGAGAAGGACCCGACACGGCCTGAAGTCAGACTGCCTCCCGTACCCCCGACGGCAACGTATTGGACGTACCCCATCACGCCGCGCGCCTCGAGCAGCACGCAATCCCCTCACAAAACATACATCATGGCCACGCTTAACGCGACTCCAGACTCCTTCTCTGACGGCTCCGTCCACTATGCCCTCCCCGACGCGCTCTCGTACGCGGCGGGCGCGGTCGCCGCCGGGGCGAATATCATCGATATCGGCGGCTATTCCACCCGGCCAGGGGCGGCGTACGTATCCCCCGAAGACGAGTTCTCGCGCGTCGTGCCCGTCATCCAGGCGATCCGCGACGGCGGCGGCGTCCCCACACCGACGCTCTCTGGGCAGTCATCTCTCAAGGCGAAGATCGCGCAGACGCTCATCTCCGTCGACACCTTCCGGTGGGAGGTCGCGGAGGAGGCCGTGCACGCGGGCGCGAACTGCATCAACGACGTATACGCGTTCGGGGGCATGGAGTACCCCCCAAATGAGGCGTCCGAAGTGCACTTCGCCAAGATGCGTCAGGTCGCGCGCGACCTCGCTGTGCCGGTCGTGCTGATGCACTCGCGCGGGCTGGCGGCGGAGAACAAGGACTACGCGGCGTACGAGTACGCCAGGGACGCGACGAGCGGGCGGGGCGCGGTCGTAGAGGGCGTGCGGGTCGAGCTGGGGGCGAAGGTCGAGCGGGCGGTCAGAGGCCCGGGAGGCATACGCCGGTGGCTCGTCATCGTCGACCCGGGCGTCGGTTTCAGCAAGACGCTCGAGGGCAACCTCGAGCTACTGCGCGATGCGGCGAGCGTCGTCGCCGAGTACCCGCCACACCTGACGAACGCGAGCCTCAAGGGCGCGCCTGCGGAGCGCCCGGAGCGGAACCCGCTCGCGGGGTACCCGCTGCTGATCGGGACGTCGAGGAAGTCGTTCTTGAGCGCGGTGCTGCAGCGGCCAGACGCGGCGGGCGCGGGATACTACGAGGGGCGGGAGACGAGGCCGGACGAGCGGGACTTTGCGACCGCGGCGGCGGTCAGCTGTGCGGTGCAGCAGGGGGCGAACGTGGTGAGGGTGCATGACGTGCTCGGGCTGGGGGACGTCGTGAGGGTTGCCTCGGCGTTGTGGTCGTGATGCGGTGAGTCGTATCAGAGAGGGAGTGCTATGAGATCTCAGCTGACCGATGCTTTCTTCTAGTGGCTGCATGTCACCCTAGCGAAATTGGGTATCGTTGATGTGCTTTATGTGTACGCGCACGGTCTATGCCCCATGATTGTAGTCCAAACTCTCGAGAAAGCTATCGGTAGCTGTCTGCGGGCGCTCACAAGGCTATAGGACAAGTTGAGAAAGGCTCTGGTTGGGGCGGGGTCGCAGAAGCAGTAGAAGAGAGCTGGTATTTCTTGTATTGCTCGCGTTGTAGCGGTAGCACGGGATCATTAGAATCTTGAATAGGGTCCGCTTACGTGATGCGCTTTGTAAGAAAGGGGACAAGGAGTTGCCTTGTTTATCGGGGTTGTACTCCCGACGCTGCAGGCCGATCCCTCGACAACCAAGCTACGACTATCGAGCTTCCTACTGACCCCCACCCAGCGCTCATGTTTAGAAATCCCCGCCCTGGTGGCTGTTGATTCTCGCATTTTAACCTTGTACACTACAAACCACTTCTCAAGCAATGGCACCCTCTGCAGCACCTACCCCGTCCGCTCCTTCGACTAGTAAGCGCACCGCAAACTCAACGTCCGACCGGCCTGATAGGCAACGAGTGGAGGATATGGAAGTGAAGCCGTATGTCATTGTCAGCGACCTCGGCAAGGGCAGCTTTGCGACGGTATACCGAGGCTATCATGAGGTGCGCCCGCACATCCATTCCATCGCGAGCCGGACACACAATCCTCATTGAACCTCGCACGAACTATCGTATACAGCAAACACATCACCAGGTCGCAATCAAGACAGTCAACAGGAGCGGCCTCAGCCCGAAGCTCTTCGACAATCTCCAGGGCGAGATCGAGATCCTCAAGAGCCTCTCCCATCGGCATATCACCCGACTGCTAGATGTCATAGTGCGTCTTCTCTTCTTCTGCCGCGTCGATCATCGGGGTATGAGGCAGGCTCGCTCACGCAAATGCGGGTGCAGCGCGCCGAGCGGAACATATACCTGATAATGGAGTTCTGCGCCGGGGGCGATCTCGCGAACTACATCAAGAGGCGGGGGCGCGTGGAAGGCCTCGAGTATATACCCTCGCCCGGTGCGGCTCCGACCTATTACCCTCACCCGAAGTCGGGAGGCTTGGATGAGATCGTTGTACGGAGCTTTCTACGGCAACTAGGTAGGTAGTCTCCTCTCGCGCCCCGTCCATCATGTGGTCTCTGACGTACAGCCAGCGCGTGCGATCAAGTTCCTTCGACAACGGAATCTCATACATCGAGACATCAAGCCCCAGAACCTCTTGCTGAACCCTGCCGGTCCGGACGAGTACTCGAGAGGGCACCCGTTAGGCGTCCCTGTGCTGAAGGTCGCGGACTTCGGGTTCGCTCGGTTCCTCCCACAGGCCATGATGGCGGAGACTTTGTGCGGCTCACCGTAAGTAGCAGCGAGTCCATGTGATTTGATGCGTTATCTGAAGTTTCGTAGACTCTACATGGCACCGGAGATTTTGAGCTACCAGAAGTACGACTCGAAAGCCGACCTCTGGTCCGTCGGCGCAGTGCTCTACGAGATGGCTGTTGGGAAGCCCCCCTTCCGTGCCCAGAACCACATTGAGCTCCTCAAGAAGATCGATAACTCGAAGGGCATCAAGTTTCCCGACGAGGACCCAGCCATGCACCAGCGTGCCCAAGCGAGAGGCGAGGAGCTCAAGATCGTGCCCCCCGACATCAAGATACTGATCCGGAGCCTGCTCAAGCGGGTCCCTGCGGAGCGCTCGAGCTTTGAGGAGTTCTTCACGAGCACGGCGATGGTCAAATCCAAGTTTCCGCGGCCGAGGGAGCCGACGCCTCCTCCTCCAGATGAATACGATGAGGACCCGGATCGGGTGCCAGAGCACTATAAGAGGATTCCGCCGGAGGTGCTGGACCCCAAGGCGATGATTCCACCTGCCAAGATCAAATTTAGGCGTAGGTCATCGCAGGGCGTGCCAGAGGGCGCATTGCAGGATGGGTAGGTCACAGCAGTCCGTATGTAGCTTGCTCGGGCATTCTGTCCTGACTCTGCGTCAGTTTTGCCGACAACGTCGCTGGACCCTCACGCTCTCCTCCGGCATACTCCCCACAGTTCAGCCCTGTTCCGAAGACCAAACCACTATCGCCGGACACGTCGCTTATCCCCGGAGAGACGGAGGAGGATGGCGCGCTGCGGCGAGAATACGTCCTCGTAGGGGATAGGCAGGCGGTCGAGATCAACCGTGCTGTGGACGGTACGTCTCTTCGGGGGTTGACTGTACACACCGTCGCCCTCATCACTTCTTCGCAGAAATCACGTCCCGCAGAAAACCTTTGCGCGATCGTAAGCCGTCTCCATTGCCGGAAGAGGCGGTCAGCCCTGCAGTGGAGACTTCACCATACGACCTCACGAGCCCGGCAAATGCCAACACCACGTTTCCGCCACCACCTAACGTCAACCTGCCACCACTGTCGTCGTCCCCGTCTAGCGCAGTTGCGCGTGCGAACGGCAACGCCCTCACACGAGCGATCAGCATGGCGACCGGAATCCTGCGCGGATCGAGACGACGGCCGTCTTCATACCAGCACGATTACACCCCGTCCTCGCCTCGACGGTTACAGACGTTTGGAGGCGCCCGCGGGCAGGGGTTGGGGCTGGAGCTGCAGGGCGTGAGGGAAGCGGAGGAGGACGAGCTCCTCACGTCGCTCGAGGAGCTCGCGCAGAAGACGGAGGTGCTGACGCACTGGGCGGACGAGATGTATGACTACGTGAAGGCGTTCCCGCAAAGTGAGTCTCGACGCCACATAGTCCCTTCTTTGTCTCTGAGCGGTGCATTGACCGGATTGTGATGCATCGGCAGAACCGCTCCCGGACCCGACGAAGTTCTCGCGGCGGGAAGGGGAGACGGAGCGCCTGGCCGCGCGGCGGAAGAACGCGGACATCCAAGCAGAGTACAACGCGATGACGTGCGTCGCGCTGTATATGCTCCTCATGTCGTTCTCGCAGAAGGGCATCGACAAGCTGCGGAACTACCACGAGCACCTGCAGATGCGCGACCCAGACGGGGAGCTCGAGGTCAGCGAGGGCTTCGACGAAGGTACGTTGCGCATCTGTCGAGCCGTACGAGGTGGGTGCAGACGCTCATGTTGTGGAGTGGCCAACAGCGCTGTCGTGGTTCAAGGAACATTTTATCAAGTGCCACGATCGTGCGGCGTTAGTCAAGACCTGGCTTCCTGCACAGTACACGGGTCCGCCGACGTTCTTGGATCAACTCGTATACGACCGGGCTCTGCTTCTCGTGAGTCAACAGTAACGCATCACGATACTGATTCAGAGCGCTCATTGCTCTGTAGAGCCGGACTGCTGCCCGTAAAGAGCTGCTGGACCAAGCGACGTCCCCAGATGAGTGCGAGAAGCTTTACGAGGAGTCGCTTTGGTGCCTATATGCGCTCCGGGATGACCTTCTCCAAGCAGACAACCCCTTCTTGAATGAAGACCGGAACACGATCTCGACCTGTGAGTACTTTGTCGTGTATTGCTTGGGTTCTGTTATAGCTGATAGCGCCGCCGTCGTTGTCAGGGATTAAGCGCACGAAGCTCCGCCTGGTCCGGTGTCGCGCCCGCATGGGCATGACCGACCGCGAACGCGTCAAGGACGCCAAGCGTGACGACAACCTCACCGACGTTCCGCGAATACCCGCCCCGTGGGATGTGGCTGATGCGGCTGGCGAAATGCCTCCTCAAGGACCCGATATTCGGAGTCCTTAACGCTGGTTTGTATCATCAGTCCAATCACTTTGCCTCCGTGATTGTCGTCACTCCTATCCTAGATGTGCGTTTTCTGTGTATTCTATCGTTATCGTAACCTAGTCAGGATCTGCTGCGACGATTATTTATTCCTTCTCATCCACGGCCCCATCATGCTGATTTTCTCATGGTCTTTCTCATGGTCTACTTCACCTGTCTCCTGCGTCGTCCTCGTTTCTGCTCTCATCTCGGCCGCATTATATGGATACAATAGCTCGGACAAGTGTGGATACTGCTTGCGGTCGTTGCGCCGTTATCCATACACATCCAACATTCCCCGTGTTTACCATCAAATGTGACATCAGCATCTGTACTAGTATGTACCTGCATCATACAGACTCATTCCACCCGAAGCTTTTCATAGGGTAAGGGCAGTCCTAGCCACGGTGGCCATGGTTGCATTTGCTTCCACGTCCTCCGAGTTCACTCAATTGACAATATGGTCCAACCTGTGGGCGTCGGCCTGGCTCGCGCCCGCAACGCGCCTACATTTTGTTGTTCTTGCTCAAGGGGTTTAACCCAATCATGTCAATATCATCGCCACGACCCCGATACGATCTGATATATCTTGTCTTCGCCTCAAGTAGGCTGGTTCGTTTGCAATTGCCTGCAGCGATCTCAATCTCATCTGAGTAGATGTTGTCACAGGAGGCGCGGTCGGGGGCACCGTGACCCTCGTACTCAGCCACTTGCGATGCTCATCACGGCCATGGGCACCTTCGGGTTCGACGTGGACCGTAGTGAGCGTCCGGACGAATATATTTCCGTACAGCCAGGCTGTGAGGTTGGATATTGCGTAGACAGAGGATACGTCTCATGACAATGTAGACATTACATAACTTGTGTAGACTGCGACACGGACGACGTCATGGCTCGAACCAGTCGTCAATCGACATCGATGATGCTGGACTGCCCCACAACGACCCGTGTTCACTCCGAGCAGACAGACCCGAGATAATACATGCATTGTTGTACAATGAGATAACGGCGAGATGACAGCAGTAGCAAACGACATGGCAGACGGACGATGCAAGATGTGACAGCATGATAACAAGATGGAAATAAGCATGGGAAATATAAGCGTGAAAGAGGGGGCGGCGAATGCCAGGGGGCAGAGACAGTACTTGATGCCAGGCAGGATATCCCTGGGATGCTAGCAGCATCGTCCATCTTGTGGCCAAAGCGCAAAGGGTATCTCGGATAAGACGAACGCGCGACAAGTAACCCGTTGCGCGCCTGCCAGCAACTCACAAATAGTCGTGGTCGCTGCCTTGCCCCGCAGGTGGTACCGGAGCACCAGACAGTGTCTTCAGACGCTTGCTGCTGCGAGATGGCTTGGTGTCGCTCAGCTTGCGCTTCAAGTTCGCAGCCATAGGCACCGGCTGATTCGCCGTCGCTTGCTCACGAGATTGTACGGACTGTTGCGACGGACCGCCAAGAGCAGTAGTATTCATCGCACTAACCTTGCGATTGGCGGTATGCCTTGAATCCTTATCACGCCCCCGCTTGCGGGTAGCGGTTGAACCCCGTCCTGATCCTCCCGGACCTGCAGTATGTCCTGACACACTGTTAGCTTGCGTCCGCGAAAGCTGGGATGGGGTCGGAATGTCCCCCCGGTTGGTGGAACGAGGGTCAGTAGGGCGCAGATGTTCCGGATCTAATTCGATGGGATTGTCGCGATGGTCGACCAGATATTGCAGGATGAGGCGCTGTACAGCTTCATGGAGGTGATCACGCTTGAGTCTGCCCTCCCACAGGGCGTATTCCGAACGAACATGCTGCGAGATTCGCCACATGAGCACGGCGACATCCTGCATGTCTCGGCAAAAGAGACGAAGCCACTTCGACTTTCGGGCGTTTATAATGACACCACGGGTTTCTTCCGCATCGTCAGGCTCGTCATCTGGGATGTCATGCGAGAGTAGAATTTTCCATACGTCGGCGCAAGCATGGGATGCATAGTGTTCTCTTGGAGATGCGACTGGCTGCACGCCGAGGAGAGCGTACACCATAGTCCAGTATACGGACTCTACGTCATGTTCCGGTCGATGAACAAACGCCGGTAATTTTGCGTCGTCGATGTCGTCAGGATTCTCGGTGGGAGGGCGGCCACCGTGGCATTCGGGGGCTCCAGGCTGGTCGTTGTACCGATCATACCGCTCCTGTCCATGTACAGCGATGTACAAGTTCAGAGCGTCGTCAGTGAGCCTTGGCATGGGCGTGCCTCGCAACGAATCTGTGGCGGTGATTACCCTTCCAAGACTGACGCTTCGTGCAATGAATATAGGTGTCCCCTAAGAGTATATCGCGTCAGACCGAGTAGACAAGAAACAGACCGTCGAGACATACCGTGCGTTCCTTCAGTTCGCCACCCGTGACCTGCACTCGTGCAGCATTGTCGAAGTCGATTAATAGGCAAGCAGGAAACCGTTCTTCGGCCGGCCTACACAATTCTTATCAATGTGTTCGGCTCCTTACTGTGAAACCAGCTCACCTCTTGCTTCCACGGAGCACATCCCGGATCGACACAGGCGTCTTCTCAGAGACAGGTCTCCCACTCACTCCGCCCCACTTTGGGTACATCAGGAAATTATATAGGCTCATGTCCCGGTGCAGTACTTTGCGCTCCAGCAGCACCGTGCGGTGAACTGCCACATCCATGTCAGCGTCGCGACTACACTTCATCAAGAGATGCCCGTACCTTCTAACGCATCGTATACCGCCTCCAATAGATCATTCACTGTCTTCGCATCCAGAAGACAAGAGCCGGAATCGAACAATGCGAACCGCTCTTTCGTTCGCACCGTCTCTTCACCTCGCGCAGCGCACTTGATCGTCTCGTTGTTGGTCGTGACGTGTTCCGCACCCTTCAGACGCACGACTCCCAGCACGTCGCCGTCGCCGTGAACGTGGGCCAAGATCTCTTCCTCCTTGCACCGACGCTGGTGGTGACGATAC